TGTCCAAACCACTGTCCCTCCTCTGGACATGTCCAAACCACTGTCCCAGTTGTTCAACCTGTGCTGTACCTCTGATGATCTCATTCTGATCTTCTCCATCCTTGTCTCTCCTAAGGAGAACCTCAACGTCTTCATTTCTGACACTTCCAGTTCTGTCCCCTGTCTTTTTGTCCATGTCTCTGTCTCCAGACCATACAACACAGCTGGTCTCACCTTTGACCTTTGCTGACACCCTTTTGTCACAAATCACTCCTGAAACTTTTCTCCATCACTCCATCCTGCCTGGACTCTCTTCTTCACCTCTTTACCACACTCCCAGTTTTACTGGACAGTGGACACTGGACAGTGGACAGTGGACCATAAGTCCTTGACGTTCCACAGCTACTACCGCATCACATTTGAACTCGATACATTTAAAACTTATGTGCTTCTGTTGAACTAGTGAATTTTTAAAACTTGATTAGCAGTAGACGTACATCCACTGGTAACTTTGTGACAGTTGTGTTCAAATGTGTCCCGTGGTTCATGAGATATTTTGCTAACAGACAGATAGCACCTGTAATTGGTGGTGAACAGACGTCTTACCGAGGTACTCCCCTCGAGGCAGGAACTGAGTCGTTATGAACTCCTTGTGGCTTGGAGGAGGTTCGTAGCTGTCGTCATCATGCGGGTCCTCGTACGTCTCGTTGTCCTGACAACAACAGCTGCTTTCACAGAAAATCTCACAACAAAACGACGAGTCACATTATTTTTGTTGTTCTTACATATTCTGAGTCGGAGGAGTGGTCGTGCTCTCTGCGGTTGTCTGCAAAAACAAACGGACCAATGAGCTGGAGAACGTCTGCTGAACAACAGAACGTGGATTCTGAACGTCGTCTGATTCATTTAGCCGTGCAGGTGTTGGAGCAGAGTAATTTTAGAACGACGCCCCCCTCCCTGAGTGAGCCGTGCTGGTGTGGAATCAGTGAAGTGAGTCACCTTGACCAGTGAACCATGAGCAGGGCGCTTCTCGTGAACGTCACCAAAAACATTTAGAAACAAAACCTTCTCCAACTGACAGGAAGTGAAACTGTTACAAGTCAAAAGTCCTAATCTGATTAAAAACATTTGATTAGTTCATTGGTTCAAACTTGGACTTGTTCTACAGTAAATATTAAATAATGTACTTTTGTTAATAAGCACAGACTCTCCTCCCACAGTTGAGGACATGCATGAAGTTGAGTAACGTGTTCTGATCGAAGTTCATCGTTGGACGAAATCAGCAGAAAAGTGAAAACATTCGTCGTAGAAACCAACGGGATCTAGTTTCAGTGAGTCCTGTTTGGATCTGCGGCTCAGACGCAGCAGAACCATCTCCCAAAGGTTCAACTGGTCACAGGAAGTTGGACTTCATGACTGAACTGGTCACAGCTGACCATGGAGGACCTTTTACACATGTAACAAAACGATGTTCAACACAGTCTGAGGACGTCACTAACTTGACTCGTTCGAACCGTCCCAGATTTCTGGTCACAACTTGTTCCTTCACATCTGGAGTTGTTTCATAAAACACGTTGGTCTTCTTTCACTCAGTGTTTCTCTCTTTGTTCTGGGACTTGAACCCACACAAAGTACAGCCTGAGCCCCTCTTAACTTCCCGCTCTTTGCCCTCAGAAAGGCGGGGATCTCCATGGCAACCAGTGACTCAGCAGACTCTGGGTCCAGAGCTTTTATTGTACTCAGCAGGCTTTTCTTTTTTTATTGTTTCTCTTCAAAACAGGAAGTGACGGCTCTTTATAACGTGTCATGTCTCCAAAATACTGTATACATGGCCCAAGACCCGATACGGGTAACGCACCAATTCACAAGAGACAGGAGACATATTACAGTCGTAGCTGTACGACTGTAAATATGAATGTAAATATAGCTGGCTGGTTGTACGCAGTTCACAACTCATTTCTTTCCAGGCTCTCTTCTCTTTTCTTTTCTCTTCTCTTCTTTTCCCTTCCCTTCTTCTCTTCCCTTCTCTTCTCTTTTCTCTCTTCCCTTCCCTTCTCTTCTTTTCCCTTCCCTTCTTCTCTTCCCTTC